GTTGGGGCTGCCGGTTCGGCAATAGATTAGGATCTTTGTTGTTTTTTCCTGTCGATCTCCCTATTTGTATATAGTACTTTCATTTGGCATATGTATAAAGAGAATCATACAGCTTTGTTTCCCTTATTCCCCTTTCTGCCCTCAATTCAGCAAGAATTGGCGAAAGAACCTTAGACCCGCGATATGGCACTATGGCTTGTTTAGGCCACCTCGAAAGTTGTCACGTGCCTGGTCGATGCGACCTTTAGTGTAAACTACCATTTAGAGCTCTTACACTTTTGCTCAACTATTTTATGTTGAGTCTCCGAGTCGGGTTTTGACTCGAGCCTACTCGACCTTCAATCTTTTGTGTCTGCATGAGCGGATGAGAAACAACTTTTATGTGCCTTGGGTCGAAGCGACCTTTTAGGTACGGGGCCCTGAGGCTCATGAAGTTGGCGACGGTGGGTCTTACGCTGTGCCCTTAGGCATGTGTAGTTAACTATTTTGGATCTAGTCTCCGAATCGGGTTACGATTTGAGCTCATTTTAATCCTCAAGTTTTCAATTTTTTCAGTTGGCGACAGTGGCTCTTACGCTTTTGGTTGTTGAGACCTTTTAGTGTGTGGCCTTGAGGCTTGTTTGGCTGGCGGCAATGGCTCTTACGCTTTGCCCGTGGGCATATGTAGGCTTTTTTTCCTCTCGTTAAGGACTTTTGAAGTGATTTTGCCTGACCCGTCATTGGTTCGGTAAGAACCTCGATTTCAAGTCATTAGCGACGATGTTCGAGTACCTCGAAAGGTTTAGTTCGTAGGCTGAGTAGCTCAAAGTCTTGTGAATTGGAGCTGACATGGTCGAAGCTCATTTGCCTATTAAGGGAAGCCTGTTTTAACCAGTTCTTTTCGAAGTATATTCGAAGTAATGGCCTATGATTTTGTTAGCAATGGTCGGGCGTCCTCGAGTATCGTTAATTTGGCTAGTGTAGCCATTTTTACCATATTCATATGTGTTTGGCAGGAGCCATTTTTGATCCCGAGTGATAGTTTACGCGTCTATATCGAGGGTATTCCCTTTCTGGAGTCTTACAAATGCGACATTTAGCCTAAACTTTGGGATTAAGTTTTATGCCTATAGTAAGGTCTTACAAAATTTGTCATACTTGTTGAGGTCTTACAGTTTGTCATGCCTGTTGAAGTCTTATAGTTTGTCATGCATGTTCAGTCTTACAGTTTGTCATGCATGTTCAGGTCTTACAGTTTGACATGCCTGTTGAAGTCTTACGATTTTTGTTGCTATCTAAAAAAGATCTGGCTAGACCGAGTCTGCCCGCTTGGGGTCTTACGGCCTTAGGTTTTTCAATGTATGGCGATTGACGACAGTCTCCAAGTCATCAAGTTTGCTTAGGCTCGAAGGTCGTTATTATTAAGCTCAGAATTGCCTCGTTGGGGCTTTATGAGCCCGGGGTTCCGACCCTGAGGTCATGCGGGTGCCAAATTGTTGACGCTAAGTCTCTGAGTATTTCAGGACGTATTCGGTGGAGGGACCCTTGCTGTGAGCATGCTGAACTTTCTTATGGAGTACGAGACACTTTGGGGTGAAAGATACTCTTTGATTGCTTGACGTGAATACATGTCATTGGGTTGTCGTAAGCCCAGCTCATGCGGACATGGTTCGCTCGACCGTTTGGCCCAGTACATCATTCCTATTGGAACCTTGTTTGTCATTTCTCGGGAAATGCATGGACGTTGCCTCGTTAAAAACCTTGCCGGTAAAAATCCATTTCGGAGTAAAAGACTCGGTCGAAGGAAAAGAGTGCGACGTTTGCTCGAGGATATTTGTGGGATTTTGCGATCGGACACCCTAGCAGTAATACCGCTTAAGCATCTATACATTCCAGTTGCTCAGAAGTTGTTCGCCCTTCATGGTGCCAAGCTTATAGGATCCTTTGCCAACTATCTCGAGGACACGGTATGGCCCTTCCCAATTCTGGACCAACTTCCCTTCATTAGGGTTTCGGGTGTTGAGAGTAACCTTCCTTAGGACCAAGTCCCCTATCCCAAAATATCGGAGATTTGTTCTTCTGTTGTAGTATCTTTTGATTTTCTGCTTCTGGGCAGCCATCCGAATCAGCGAGGCTTCCTGTCTTTCGTCAAGTAGCTCGAGGGCCGTTGTCATGACCTCGTTGTTTGAGCCCTCATTAGTGTGCTGGAATCTAGCACTCGGTTCCTCGACTTCCACTGGTATCAATGCTTTGGCTCCATATACTAGAGAGAAGGGTGTTTCCCCGGTGCTCAATTTTGAAGTTGTTCGATACACCCACAGTACCTCGGGCAGTGTTTCTCTCCATTTTCCAGTGGTGCTCTCCAATTTCTTTTACAAGTTATGAATGATGGTTTTATTCGTAGATTCGGCCTGGCCGTTTGCACATGGGTGGTAAGGTGTTGACAAGATTCTCTTGATTTTGTTGTCTTTTAGGAACTGTGTTACTTTGTTCCCGATGAACTGCCTCCGGTTATCACATGTTATTTCAGATGGGATTCCGAACTGGCATATGATGTGATCCCATATAAAATTGATGACTTCCTTCTCTCTTATTTTCTCGAAGGCTTGCGCTTCCACCCATTTTTAAAAGTAATCAGTCATAAATAGAATGAATCTAGCCTTACTTGGTGCCATTGGTAAAGGGCCGACGATGCCCATTCCCTATTTCATGAATGGCCATGGTGATAAAACGGAATGCAGTTGCTCGCCAAACTGGTGGATCATGGGAGCGAAACTCTGGCACTTGTCGCATTTTCGGACGAATTCTCTGGCGTCTTTTTCCATGTTGTTCCAATAGTAGCCCGCTCTGATCACCTTTCGGACTAAAGAATCATCCCCGGAATGATTTTTGCAGGTGCCCTCCTGGATCTCTCGGAGCACATAATATGTGCCGCCCGGTCCCAAGCATACCGCCAGGGGGCCATCGAAAGTTCTCCTATATAGAGTCCCATTTTCGTCGAGCGAGAACCGGGCTACTTTAGTTTCCAGGGCCCTCAATTCTTTTGGATTTGCGGGTAACTTCCCGTCCTTTAGATAAATGATATATTTATTTCTCCAATCCCATGTCAGGATGGTGGAGTTAATCTCCGTGTGGCCTTCCTTGACCACAGATTTGAACAATTGGACGACAGATCCGGGGAGCAGGTCTTCTTCTTCAACAGAAGATCCCAGGTTCGTGAGGGCATCAGCCTTTCTGTTCTGCTCTCAAGGTAATGTGATTTGGATTTTGTCCAAGTACCTCTGCATCTTGTCCTCTTAGGCTTCGTAGCTTCCGTTCACTTGGCTTACTATGAGGAGCGAATCGCATTTTGCCTCGATAGTCTTGGTCCCCAAACTTTTGGCCAATTGTAAACCTGCAATCATAGCCTCATACTCGGCTTTATTGTTAGTTAGTTTTGTGGTTTTTATGGATTGTTGGATTACGCCGCCAACGGGCAGGTTTAGGACTATACCGAGCCCGGATCCTCTTATGTTTGTGGCACCATCTGTGAACAGGGTCCATACCCCGGAGGACGTGCCCAATTTCAATAAAAGTTCCTTCTCTACCTCGGGCACGAGGAATGGCAAGAAATTAGTCACGAAGTCGGCAAGGATATGGGACTTGATGGACATTTGAGGTTGATACTCGATATCATACCCTCCGAGTTCAATGGCCCATTTGGCCAATCGACCCGATAACTCGGGTTTGTGCAGTATGCTCCGGAGGGGGTAAGTTGACAGAACGCAGATACGGTAACACTAAAATAAGGCTTCAACTTGCACGAGGCGCTTATCAGTGCAAAAGCCAATTTTTCCAGATGGGGATATCGGGTTTCGGCGTCCCCCGAGGTTTGGCTTACATAATAAATAGGAAATTGTGTACCTTGCTCCTCTCGAACCAGTATGCCGCTTACCACTATTTTAGACACGGCCAGGTATAGGTATATCGTTTCATCCTCCTTGGGTGTGTGCAGCAAAGGCGGGCTAGTCAGGTATCGTTTCAGTTCTTCTAGGGTGTGTTGGCATTCTGGAGTCCATTAGAAGTTGCTCTTTCTTTTGAGTAGGGAGAAGAAATGATGGCTTTTGTCTGATGACCTTGATATGAATCTGCCCAGGGCCGCTATCCGCCCTGTCAGCCGTTGGATAGCTTTTACATTGTTCACCACTGTGATCTCTTCGATGGCTTTTATCTTGTCGGGATTGATCTCGATCCCCCTATTTGAAACCATGAAGCCCAGGAATTTACCCGAACCTACTCCAAAGGCACACTTCTCGGGGTTGAGCTTCAAGCTGTAGTTTCTGAGGATGTTGAAAGTTTCCTACAAATGGGTCAAATGGTCCTCTGCGCGTAAGGATTTGACTAGCATGTCATCAATATATACTTCCATTGATTTACCTACTTGATGCTTGAAAATTTTATTAACTAGGTGATGGTATGTTGCTCCTGCGTTTTTAGCCCGAAAGGCACTATGTTATAGCAATATGTACCATACTTTATGATGAACGAGGTATTTTCCCTGTCCTCGGGGTTCATCAGGATTTGATTATACCCCCAGTAGGCATCGAGCATGGTCGGCCGTAGTATTGATCAGACGATCGATATTAGGCAACGGGAAGGAATCTTTGGGCCACGATTTATTCAAATCTTTATAATCTACGCACATTCTTAGCTTGTTCCCCTTTTTGGTACTACTACTACATTAGCTAGCCATTCAGGATACTTTACCTCTCTAATGGATCCGATTTTAAGAAGGTTCGCTACCTCCTCTTTGATGAAGGCATGTTTTACCTCGGACTGTGGTCTTCTCTTTTGCTTTACGGGTTTGAATTTGGGATCAACGCTCAGCCTGTGAGAGGTTATTTCTGGCGGGATTCCTGTCATATCCAGGTGGGACTAGGTGAAATAGTTGATATTGTTACTAAGAAATTGAATAAACCCTATCCTAAGTTCAGGGGTCAACCCTATTCCCAGGTATACTTTACGATCCGGGAGGTGCTTGATCAAATAAGTCTGCTCCAGCTCTTCGACTGTTGATTTGGTTGCATCTTATTCCTCTGGGGCGACGAAGGTTTGGGGGCGAAGAAATCTTCCTCGTCGTCTTCGAGGGTATGTATGCTTCCCTCCTTTTCCGAGACCGGGCATGTGGGGGTTGGCGCCTCATGGTGGACCGCGAACATTTCTTTTGCTGCTCGTTGTTCTCCATGTATGGCCGTGATGCCATCCCTCATGGGAAACCTTATCACCCGGTGCAAGGTTGAGGGCACTGCCCTCAACCTATGTATCCAAGGCCTGCCGAGTAAGGCGTTGTACCTCATGTCGCCATCGATGACCTGAAACTCGGTGTTCTGGATCACGTCGGACGTGTTGATCGGGAGGGTGATCTCTCCTTTCATTACTTCGCCGCTCATGTTGAAGCTGTGGAGGATTCGTGGGACGAGAACAACTTCATTGAGAAGCCCTAGCTGTTGTACTACTTCTGATCTGATTATGTTGGTCGAGCTGCCTGGATCCATGAGTACGTGCTTTATCCTAGTGTTGTTTAAGAGAAACGAGATCACTAGCGCATCGTTGTGCGGTTCCATCATGGCCTCGAGGTCCTCCTCGTGAATACGAGGGTATCTTCGGGTATGTGGTTTCGGTTCAGTCCTTCTTCTGTAGTGGACGTTCCCGTTCGTTTGAACATGGGTCCTTAGGGAACGTTGGTTCCCCCAATAATCATGTAAACGTTATGTTAGAGAACCTTCCCTTCCGTCCGGGTTGAATCTGGTGGTGTACCGGCCTCTAGGACAGTCGTGTCCTTCGCTCTATTGTTTTCAAGGTTCCGGTTTCCCATTTTACTCGCTGAGCTAGGTGATCTGTCCTGAAATCGAAGATCTTGGACCAGAAAAAGTGTGAAAGATAACTTGCGTTTTTGTGATAAAACCAGCAAGAAAATAATCACTATTATTTTTAGCTCCACGGTGGGCGCCAAACTATTTACCGTGAAAATAATAACAACAATTAAGTTTGTAAATAGGACTCTAAAAATACGTGATCTATTTTTATGCTAGTTATTAGAGCAGTTGATGCTAAAAATATGGAGTTTAACAAAGAGACACAAGCTAAAACGGGGCAGTAATAAAACCGAGGGGCTTGCTGCCCGGGCTTCAGACTGGTCAATGAAGGGCCTCGAGGCCGATATCTGCCTCGAGCTCAAGCTATCGGGGGTAACCGGGAAAGGGATAACAGTTTAGAATATAATTAAGGAAGGCTCTTTATCGCCTATACCCAGCAATAAATGAAGAACAAATATGAAAACAATAAATGTTAAGAGTGGCCTCGAGCGAGTAAGAGAGAAAAGAGAGAGATATATTATTGATCTTGTGTCGAATAGTTGGAGCAACAGCCGAGCCCTTCAAAGTGATGGGGATCCCCTTTATATAGGAGGGAAATCTGTTATAGTACAAAATGTTTTAGCTGTAAAGGCGTAGAGATAGGACAGCTGGACGTGACATCTTGAAATAGGCCCCGGATAGGTCAGTCCAGTCAGGTTAAGCCATGTGCCTTGGGAACTCCCCTCTCGCCTGCTATAGCCTTCCATAGCCGTTGGAACGCGATGCCCTCCGGACCGGTACCTAACGACCCCCGAGGGTGAGTCTCAACCTTGGATTTGAGCTTCGAGGAGCATGACCGCTAGATGACCTTATGATGGGGAAATCGGGCCCCCGGATTTGCCATATACACCTTTACTAATAGATGTACTGTGATCGGAATAGGGCCCCAGCCTACCTATAACATATATATATACATATATACACAAGGTGTGTATAAAACTCTTGATCCAGCAACTCTGAAGGACGTGGAGCTTATCGATCAAGTTGAACTCGAGCAACACCTACTGAGGACGTCTACCCATCTGTCTATCTTAACTTGTACGCATGGAATGTAGCGTCTTCGGCAAAAGGGACGTCAGTACGAAATAATGTACTGAGTATGTAAGGCAACAGAATAACTGAAAGTTGAAACTGAACTGATAATATATTAATTGAAAGTAACTGGGAGTCAAAGATGATCTGAAGATATACTTATCTGTTGATACTAGCTCAACTCTCTCAATATACTAAGTAAAATAAATGTCTGGCCCTATAAGGCTCGGTACGTGTAACTGCTCTGTCGTAGTAGGCTCGTTCATAGGCGCTCGGCCATACTAGACTCTATATCTCGGCCATTCTGGGTTCGCTCATAGGTGCTCGGCCACTCTAGGCTCGGTATATAACTTACCATCTGATCAGAGATTGCCCAATAGGGGCCTGCCCACCGATTATAGCTTGATGGTGGTGAAAATACTGTAATACTATATATATATATATAAAGAGAGAGAGAGAGAGAGAACCTCCTCTCTCTTGATTGGAAGAAGAAAATATTCAATTGAATATAAAGTCCAGCTAGCATTAGGGTTTTAAACCCTAGACTGAGCTTTTCCATGTAGTCAGCATTAGGGTTTTAAACCCTAAACTGACCCTTTTCCATGCAATCAACATTAGGGTTTTAAACCCTAAACTGAGCTTTTTCCATGCAATCAACATTAGGGTTTTAAACCCTAAACTGAGCTTTTTCCATGCAATCAGCATTAGCGTTTTAAACCCTAAACTGAACCTTTTTCCCTTCAGCCAGCATTAGGGTTTTAAAACCTAAACTGAGCTTTTCCATGCAATCAGGATTAGGGTTTTAAACCCTAAACTGAGCATTTCCATGCGATCAGCATTAGGGTTTTAAACCCTGAACTGAATTTTTCCTTTAGTCAGCATTAGGGTTTTAAACCCTAAACTGAACTTTTTTCCCTTCA